ATGTATATGAGGCATGGATGTTTATGAGGCATGGTGGGTGGCATGTTCTGTAAGGCCAGCACTCCATGATCTTCCTGCAGACGTCCAGGCCAGCCTGATCTACACAATGCTTGGTCATAACAGCAGTGATGGTTCTCTCCTCCAAATAAAACAAAACGATCAGAAGCTTTTTAGAAATGTATAATCTAATAATGAATTTGCAGAGAAAGAAATCAGGAAAAATGACCACATTCATAATAGCTTCACACAATCAAACAACAATGAAAACAAAGTAAAACATACACATGCACACACGCACACACACACAAAACCTATTTCCCAACCTAGGAATAAACCTAACCAAGGAGTGAAGATACTAGAAGATTCAAAGACTTCTTATGCTCATGGATCAGCAAAATTAATATTGTATGGCTTTTTAAAAATGAATGCTTAGCTGTAGATTCAGCACAATCCTTATCGAAATTCCAATCATATTCTTCACAGAACTAGGGGAAAAAAAGCCTGAAATTCACAAAAACGCAAAAGACCTCCCCCCACAGCCAAAGCAATCCTGGTGGTGGCATTGCAATACTGGTCTTAAAATCAGTACAGAGTCATAGGAGCAAAACCAGCAAGATCCATGCATAGAACGGACTCATAGCTCGGTAGCATGGAATAGAGGATCAAGGAATCAAAACACGCATAGCTATAACCACCTAATCTTTGAAAAGGTGCCAAAAACATATATTTGGGGAAAAGAGTGCCTCTTAAATATCTGGTGTTGGGAAAACTAGATAGGCACACGTGAAAGAGTACAGCTATATTCATGATATGCTGTGCCAAATCAAAATGGATCAAAGGCCTTAGAGAAGATCTGGAATTCTGAAAGACTAGAGGAAAATAAGGCATAACATTTCAAGGTCTATGCATAGATCAGGGCTGTTGATGAACGGCCAGTGTTGGGGGCCATTCTGTTGTTGGAGCTGCGGGCTATGTTCAGCCACCCAGCTCCCGCCACTGGCTAGCTTTACCCTGAAATAACAACACACAAACTGTATTCATTTAAACACTGCTTGGCCCACTAGCTCTAGCCCTTACAGGCTAATTCTCATATCCTGATCAACCCATCTCTAATAATCTGTGTAGCATCAGCCTTACCGGGAAAGATTCAGCATGTCTGACCTGGCTTGCTTCATCGCGTCTGCCCCAGAGAGGAGAGCTATCGAGTCTGAGCTCACTTCCTCTTCCTCCCAGCATTTTGTTCTGTTTACTCCACCCACCTAAAGGCTGGGCCAAGGCAGTTTCTTTATTAGCCAATGACCTTCCTCCATCACAGGGCTTTCTGAAAAGCATTGCAGTAGCACAGAAAACAATCCCAAGAACTGACAAGTGGCATTGAGTGAAATTAAAAAGCTTTTGTAGCCGGGTGGTGGTGGCATACACCTTTAATCCCAGCACTCGGGAGGCAGAGGCAGGCAGATCTCTGTGAGTTCAAGGCTAGCCTGATCTACAAGAGCTAGTTCCAGGATAGACTCCAAAGCTACAAAATAACCCTGTCTCGAAAAACCAAAAAAAGAAAAAGCTTTTGTCTAACAGGAACAGAAGTGAGTAATTGCACTTAGTACGCATCTTATAGAAGACAGTTTATTTGGACACATGGTTCTGGAGGGATAGAGCCCTTCATGACAAGGACAAATGGCAGCAGCCTGCATGGTTGCTAAAGCAGGAAGCTGCATGCTCATATTTTCAATGGCAAACATGTAGCAGAGAGAGAACTGGAAAGGGCCAAGTCTTTAAACTCTGGAAGTGCACTCTAGCAACACACTTTCTCCATGGAGGCTGTATCTCCTAAACCTCCCCAAACAGTGGCACCAGCTAAGGACTAACTGTTGAAATAGATAAGCTTGTGGGGGACATGCTCATTCAGACTACCCCAGGAATAGAATTTGTGTGACTGGGAGACACCATCAGATAATATCCTATGTGCTGTGTGTGTGTATTTTTATTAGACCTGTGGCTGTAAAGCTTGGCTCTAGGCTCCAAGCAGGCCTATACTAATAGGAAGAGACATTGTGTGTATATGTCTGCATATATACACATAACTGTATGTATACCTACACACAGATGCACCTACTTAAGTATATGTATATAAAATTGAGTGTATTTGCAGTTTTGCACAAAATTGGGGAGAGGAATTCTTTACCTATCTTAGCTGCCTCCTCGCAGAAGTGTTGTAATATATAGGAAAGGTGGAAGAAGAGCTAGGAAGTGAGTGCCGGTCAGGGATACTGAGAGTTAGGCTTCCTTTAAAAGAGGAGTCGTTTTCCTGATGCTCGGACTATTGGGCTGGCCTCCTTTCATTCTTAGTGTGGTATTTCTGTCAGGAACTCTAATTCCTAAGGTTCTAGTTACACTGTTGTCATAAAAACAGCCCTAGGAAATGTTCAAAGAGAAGAAAGGGAAATATGTGGTTTGAAAAAAAAAAGGATATATAATTCAGAATACAGGATTCTGTTAAAATCAGTTTAATAGTTTCCTTTGACATAATGTTTATGGGCTGGAGAGATAGCTCAGAGGTTAAGAGCACTGACTGCTCTCCCAAAGGTTCTGAGTTCAATTCCCAGCAACCACCTGCTTGCTCAAGTCATCTATAGGGAGATCTGGTGCCCTCTTTTGGCCTGCAGGCAGAACACTGTATGCGCAATAAATAATAAATCTTAAAAAAAATGTTTAGTGACTTCTTTATTTTTAAGTACGAGTTTATTGTTGCCACACTTTTAAAGAATTTATTTTAATAAAACCTATATGAAGATAAATATGTAAAATCTAAAAAAGAAGCTCTTTTTCTTAGGTTCATCAAAGTGTTTATTAAATTATTTTAATTTCAGCAAGGGCTTCTAGTCTCTTAAAAATGCATTTAAACATTTGATTGTGTTTGTTTTTGTGCGTATGTGCATGTGGAGGAACCTGCAGGAGTCTGTTGTCGCCTTCCACCACATGTTTGGACTCTGGTTGTCAACACTTCGCACAAATGCCTTCAGGTCCACTGAGACATCTTACCACCCCACAAAACATATTTCAAACAAATTGTTCTTAGGCAACTCTTTTCACCTTTATCTTTGAGATAAATTATATTATTTAGGAAGCACCCAGAGTTGACGTTTGGATGCCTGATGTATTTGTTGTGTGATTTCCAATTTAGTGCTTGAGGAAATTTCTGTGTTACATAGGGGGATTGACAGCCTCTTTAATTATTCATGAGCTCCCCTCTAGAGTAAAAGGTAACACAGATGAAAAATGACATGCAATTTTTACATGAGTGGAAACTTTTATCTCAAAAGTGATGTATGTGTAATCACTGCCCAAAACTATTTTAAGGCTCAGCTGATTGACTTCCTTTTCTGGTTGACCCTCTTGCTTCTGCTCCCACCCCCATAGCAAAGGTGAAAGCCTTGCTGGACTCCTATGGGTGCTGGGGATTCAAGTTTGGGTCTTTATGCTTGGGAATCAAGTGCTCTTGCCCACTGAACTATCTCCTCTGCACTGCTTTTTGGAGTTCGGCTTTATTCTTTGAATTTACTTAGTTGTATCAACCCTCCCTCAAGCCACTTTTGGATAAAGATAAACTGGAAAGGTGTTTATGAACAGTCCTTCAAGAGTATGAGTTTTCCATACATGGGGCAAGGAATCCCAGGTTTCTGTTTGCATGTTCTAGCATGTGACTTGTCAGTGTGGGAAACTCTAATTAATTCTTTTTGTTAGCTGTGTAATAGTCTTTCAAGTATGGTTGTATGGTAATTTACCAGCTATATCTTTATTGGTGGAGATTATATCCAGACTGTGCTCATTCAGGATACTGTTTCAGTATTTTCTTTTTTTTTCTTTTTTTTTTTTTTAAAGATTAATTTATTTATTATGTATACAGTGTTCAGCCTCCATGTATGCCTGCAGACCAGAAGAGGGCACCAGATCTCATTACAGATGGTTGTGAGCACCATGTGGTTGCTGGGAATTGAACTCAGGACCTCCGGAAGAGCAGTCAGTGCTCTTAACCTCTGAGCCATCTCTCCAGCCCCATCAGTATTTTCTATGTAGAATTTTACGTACCAATATTTTCTTTTTTCCTTTGTGTTCCTAAAGTGGAATTGGTAGTTCCGGATGCTCTGTAGTTCATGTCTTCATAGTCACTGGACAGATCAGTGTTGTGGTACTTCCAGCACCTCTGCCCTCCTCATCCCTCTCTCTTGGTAGTTGACCCCTCCCCCCTGAGTCTCCCTTCTTTCAAGACACATGCATTTAGTTACTATCTTCTTTGTCCCCTCACAGCCCCTTTTCTGTTTTCTTGTCTGAGGATAGCCCATCAGACGAATGGAAGAGGAAGCATTTCTGACTCTTGTAAACACTGCCGCTGCCTCCCCCCAGTGCTCAGGAATGCGTGCTTCCCAGCACCAGGCATTTTCCTGGCACAAAGGTCCGGTACAGCTTTAGACTGAGTATTCTGGGGAATGCTCTGCAGGTCCCCAGAGTGTGGCCTTGATGTGGGTCTCACACCCAAGTGCTCTGCTCTCTGAACTCAGCTGTCTTGATCTGTCCTTGTGCTTCTTTTTGCTCACCCTGGAAAGCTGATGGGCCAACTCCATCTGGGGTTCTCCTCCTGCATACCCAAGGTTTTAAACTGGAACAATCAAAAGGCTTAGCCCACAGTGTTTGTTCTATATTTTATAGTGCGTGTGTGTGTTTTAAACTGGAACAATCAAAAGGCTTAGCCCACAGTGTTTGTTCTATATTTTATAGTGCGTGTGTGTGTATGTGTGTGTGTGTAGTGCATGCACGTGAGTATGTGGCTGCACACATGTGAGGCAAGAGCAGGATGTCCGATGTCTTTTGCAATTACCTTCCTGCAACATGGTCTCTCACTGAAGCGTAGTTCAGCTGGAGTATCTGGCTGGCAGCTCCTCAGCCCTTCAATAACTAACGGTAACTATGCGTTACAGGAGCATTTGTGCTCTTATTTTCTCCAGAGACTGCACAAAGAATATTTCAAGAAAAAGGAATCCTGGCAGGAGAAAGCAGAAGTTTTAAGCCTCACTTGACCTTTATGAAACTGTCAAAAGCACCAGTGCTCAGGAAGCAGGTGAGTGCACATTTGTATCGTTGGACTTATTTTCCAGGGCACCCAGGCTTTAGCATGGTTGGGAGTGTGACGTCTTGTATTTTTGGCACCCTAAACTCCTTGTTCCTGGGACTTCAGGTCAATTCATTTCCAATCCAAGGGTGCTAAAGATCTCAGTGTTCCTAGGAGGCTATTACAGCCGTGCCTGATTTGCTGCCCGGCTGTAGTTTGCACACTGACACCCCTGACGGCTGCTGCTTCTTTTGCGATTCCTCCTAGGAGGAGCCTGTAGATGGCGCCAGAGTTCAGTCGTTCTGCTTTCTTGCTTCTGCCTCCTTCAGCTCCCAGGGTTTCCTGCGCCAGCCTCTCTTCACTTGCTGCTCATTGCAGTCCTCTGCTCTAGCCCGCGTTGAGGGATGCTTTGGGGCTCTACTTTTTGTAGGTTTTTCAGGGATTCCAAAAGACAGTTTTGCGCTTCCAATAGTCGCTTCCACTCAGGGCCTGGAACAAGGATACCACAGACTGGATGTTAAAGTGTCCGTGGGACACCCCTACCCCATCCCTGAGTACTTTTCCATAAGGTTGGGTAACAGTGACAAGCTAAGACTAGTTGTCTTTTAACTTCCTTTAGCTATGGTGATTTTACCCCTACACGCACGCACGCACGCATTCACGTTTTCTTGATTTCTCCATTTCAGCCCAGGGTTTCTTATGTCACTCGCTGGCCTCTGTTATACCAGACTATCTGAGATAAGCATGCAGATCAGTGTCCACTGCCTGCTCCTCATTCTTTCTGCTCCTTTTAAGGCTCATTTGCAGCTCTATAAATGAAGGCCGTGCTTGTTACTAAGTATAACCTGCCCCCTGCCAGTTTAGCGCTCAGAGTTCTTTTTGTTCTTTAAAACGTGTTTGGCTGATCTGTCCTGTGCTTGCGAGCTTTCTACGCACTATTGTTAAAGATGCCCTCAAAGAGATATCTTGTATAATTTTGATATCTATTTTTAAAAAGTCGCCAGTATCTACATGAGGCCTGGTTGTAAGATATGCTAGGGGAAATGATTATTGTACGTGACAGTGTTTGAAGCCTGCAGAGCTTGTAGACTGACCGTTCACTTCTTCACTCGTTGTCTCTCTCGTTTTGCTTGCAATGGATTGCCTTCTCCCAAGTGGCTTCCCATTTAATCCCAGAGTGGCAAATCAGTGGTGAAGGTAATTCCCCTATTTCACAGTGTTACTTTGCCTTGACAATATTAATTTACGGCGGGAGCACCCAGTGACACTTACCAAAGGGAGGCGGAAATGTTGCAGGATCTCGATTTCACCTTCCAGACTGTTCTTGTGTGCTTTCTGGGCACTTCGCTGCACAGAACTGAGTTCCTCTCACTAGAGGACAGGGACCTGAGACTCAGAAGGCTTACCTGACTTCAGGGAGTCACATCCTTGAGTTTCAAAGTCCCACTCTGTGTCTAAGAACCTAACTCATTCTCAGTCTCCTGTTCGTCCTGTCCACCAGCCAACTTCCATTCACTCATATTCATTTCTATAGATGAGGAGCATCTGTTACAGATTATGATTCCATAAATATTTATTTGGTATCTGTTGCATGCCAGGGACTGGCTGCTTAAGTCTGAATTGGTAATCAAAATGGAAAGTTCCTGCTGGAATGGTATACAGACTTGAAATCAAATTGCATTCTGTAGAGATTAGAAGATTTAATCTATTGAAAGATTTTTATTAAATCTATCTAAAAAAATCACTATAGACTCTGTCTTCTCCACCCAGGAGATATAACAAGATCCCGAGTAAATGCCTGAAGCCACAGATAATACTAATCACGCTGTATGTTGTTTCCCCATATGTGTGTTTATTCACTTAAATGATAAGTGTACTATGGCTTATCTTTGGCCTAGCAAATGCCAGCATTACTATGCACTTTGGGGCCATTATTATGTAAAGGTACGAATTAAATGTGCGCACTGTGCTGTCTGGCCTGATAGCTGATGTGGTTACCAGTGGCTATTGGGAGGGTCCTGTATGTAATGTGGCTGCACTGGCAAAGGGATGATTCCCATCCTGGGTGGTGCGGGGTAGCACAGGGTCTTTTGCTGCTCTGAAGGGTGCACAACAAAAAGACTCGTGCTTTATCTCTCTGGAACATTTGTCTTCCCTCTCCCCCTCAGCCTTCCCTTTCCTCACACTAAGTTGCCCAGGTTGGCCTTGAATTCATGGCCCTCCTCCTCTAACCTCCCAGGTATTAGAATTACGGGTCTATACCACCAGGGAAGCTCTTCCTCATATTTTCTATTTAATACTTTTAAACTGTGGTTGACCGCAGAGAACTGAAAACCTACATAAAAGGTGAGACTTCTGATTGTCTGTCTGGTGTCCGTCTATACATCCCATCTATTCCATGCTGACTTGCATGCTACTTTTCTCTGAAAACTCCTTCCTATGCAGCAATGGGATGACGTCAGCAGCTTCTGAGGTGTCCTGTAATCCAATCAAGTAGAATCTAAACTGAACTCTCCTTGGCTTTAATTGCGTAGGCAGAAGAGAAAGTAAAAGAGGGAGAAGCAGGTAATAGTTGCCTTTCCTACTTGCATATGGGATGCAATGCACTTCAAGCACTTTATTATTTTTTATTTTAAAAGTTATTTTAATTGTAAAGTAATTGTATACTATAAACAGTTCAATATATATAATGCTATAGAATGAAGGTAATGAAACTTTGTTCATCTTTGCACAAATGTGTAGCCCATGCTGGCCTCAAACTCCAGGTCTTCTTACCTGAGTTTCCTGATTGAACTATGTAACCTCACCTAGCTGTTATGCCCAGATTTCCCGGTACCCCCCAAAACACCATGGGGTTCACACTCATATATAAAAGCAAAGAGCCTTTATTCATTACAATGGGTACTATTGTTTGGGCAGTTGCTTTGCACAACACTTAATATGTCTTTTAATGCATTTCAGAGGTAAAGGTTGAGATTCCGATGTTCTTTTAGCCAGTGGTTTTTCAGAAAGGCTTCTGAATAGAGCTGATGTTGCTATCTCTAGGATGGAGTGAACTTTCCTTGACATATCAGGGATTTTTACTCACCTGGTTAGGATTTTGCTGGGGTCCAGTGAAAGGTCGCCTTGGTGAGCTGAATTTAGTAAGAAGTGGTGATGAGCATGTCAGATGCCCATGGCAAGTCAGGAGTGAGGGGAAGCCGCTGGCTTCTGAGGCCCTGAAGCTTTCTACGACTTTGGAGGGTGCTTATTTAGTGTCTAGGAGAAACCTAATAAGGTATTATTTAAAATTGTTTTTGTTATGCTTATATATATTATATATATATGTAAGTACACAAACATCATGGTGCACACATATGGAGATTGGAGGACAATTTATAGGATACCTTGTGGGTTCCAAATATCAAACTCAGGCCATCAGGTTTGGCAGCAAGTGGCCCTGAGCCATCTCACCGCCTATCTTTTATATTTCACTTGACATTCTAGGAGGACATCTGCAAATAATTTTGGATGTGATATAGAAACACTCCCAGGATACTAGTAGTGTTATTGTTGGGACTGGTGACTATTGGTTTTTTAAAAAAGCCATGCACTAGGCAGAGAACAGTTGTAGATCAGCACAGGCAAGCATCTAAGACCACAGGATGGATAGACAGTCCACCTGCTGCTGACCAGAGGAGATGCAGTCATAGAGGTTAGTGTTTCCTCCTTTCATCTAGTCACCAGCATCTTTAATAACCCAAAAAACTATTATCCATGTTAAACTAAAAGAAAAATTCAAAGTTGGAGCTGTAACAATATATTTAGAAAGTTAAATATCTCATTAAGATCATGGGCAGAGCCTGGTGCTGGCCCTGAGTGCTCTGGGAGTGCTCCAGGGTACTCCAGGAGTGCCCCTCAAGAGCTCCCATGAAGATTCTCAGTGGTGGTCAGTGTGGGGTAGAGAAGTCCCTAGGGCTCTGGGGTCCGTTCCCAGAAGGATACGTGTTTATAGGTTGCATGCACTAAAAGTCACCAACACCAAATGGGGAGCCGGAAGTTTTGTGTGTTAGGTTTGGAAGTTTGGAAATACAGAAACCCTCCCTTGAATCTCCTGGTGTGGATATTCCCCTGCACCAAGAGAGCTGAGTGAGGTGCAGGACAGATCTGGGAAGCCGAAGGCTTTCTCTGGAAATTGCATACTTTATTAACAAGAGGAGAAATTTATTCAGTGTACATGTGAGTTTTGCTTATTTTTTATTTCACGATATTATACCGGGTATATTGATACTGTGAAAATGAACTGTTCTGATGGTCACTGTGCTGTGTAATTAAAAAAAAACAAAAAACAAATTTGGCCTCAGAAACTCTGACCTCGTAAGTGCAGGGTGTTGTGTTTTCCCCGCTGCTGTCTGGCATGCTTAGACTGTAGTATGTGTGCCTCCCTGCTTTTCATAATGAGTCCTGTTGGATTTAAATTTCTCATCAATGACCCCCTGCTTCTGTGAATTAAACTGGGAAACCTGCAGGGTTAGACGTGTATGCTAACACTTGGTGGCAGAAGAAGATCACTTTCAATCACACAGGGAGGGTCTCAGTGCACATCTGGATTCCTCGAGGCATAAATATGACCTCCTCCTGCACGGATCCATTGTTTTTAAATACACCTTCTTTTCTGAGCTCCAAAGTCCCTGGATTTATGGCTTTTCTAATTTACTAGTGTAGCATTTACTCTAATGCAGGTTTGGCTTATTTACCTGGTACTGAGGAAGGTCCCTACCAGATGTTTGACTAAAAACCACGGATTCCTCTTTAGCCCCACACTCCATCTAAAGCAGAAGGTATGAAATCTGACCGTCCTTCTGAGTCGGCCTGTCTCCTTTGCTGTGTCTTAGGGTACAGAGCTAAATTAATATTTTCTTTCTGATGTGGGAGTGTCATATATCAATCTGTTGATTTCATTGGTTAAGTTATAATAAACCAGCTGCTTGGCCTCATGGCTTGGAACATAGATGGGAGGAGTAAACAGA